CACCTGCCTCATTCTTTCGTCGAGACTATTAAACGTCTACGTTAAAACACGTTTAATTTATATATAACATTTAAAATGGAAAATTGTGTCATTCCTTTAGAAACGGAAGTCAAATACTGAGGTTTAGTGTTTTTGGAACCGTCAGTTAGCCATGTGTCTTATTTTCCGTGTCACTGCAGCACATAACAAAATGCAATAGAACCTGGTCTCTTACCTTTGTTATACACAACTAAAATAATTAATAAACCATGCATAGAAGCGTTATCAATAGGAAGCTTAGGGGATTGCTTTGTTCATTCGAGTTTCACCCATTCATCAAGCTCCGTTCACACAAAAAATCTAAACTATATTTAGGTTTATTGTTGCTATAAAAATAAAATTATTTCAGGGAAACGAGCAGGCAGTTTGTCGGTGTTCATACTGTCTCTTATACACATCTAGATGTGTATAAGAGACAGGTACCGGTATATCTAATAATAAAATGCTACATTTTTGTCAGGGGATTTATTATTCATTTGGACACATATTAACATTGTAGTAGACATGATAAGGGCTGCCTAATGAATACCTAAAATAAACGTCAGCGTGTAAAATTGAACACAATAAACTTGATTTAAATCGATACTAACTGGTTTTCATAAAATCGCTACACCCTAAAGCCGATCAGTAACTGCGCCCGACGCGATTTTATGGTGACCGCAACGCCACGACGCCCGCGCAACGGATTGTTTGTAATGACAAAAAGTTCAGACTGCCAACGAAAATTACAGAGGGCGTCGCGTCCGGACCGGAGTTGGAGTCATCGTACGACGCAGTGAGTGCCCGACTAAAGCTCGGTTTCCATAGGATCGCTCACCCTATCGGCTACAGTCACCGACAGTTGTCGGGAAGTTTTAACCTGGTTCAACTTTGCTGATTGCGTTGCAAACGAATCAGGGTGCATTGCTAGCTGCCATGACGTAATCAGGAAGGCACCCCGATTCGTTTGCAACGCAATCAGCAAAGATGAACGAAGTTCAACCTTCCCGACAACTGTCGGCGACTGTCGCCAATAGGGTGGGCGATTCTATGGAAACCGAGCTTTATCGATGCAAGGCCGACAGTTGTTGGAGACGCTGATTTGTTGGCCGAATGATATTGGGGACCATTCTTTCCGAGTGCGTCGGTTATAACTACGCAGTGTACAGTTGCCATGGAAATACAGAAGCGACAGAGCTTTATTTTAAAAATAAAATTTTTAATTACAAAAAAAAATTATAACTCGTGATTAGAAAGCCAACAAAACCATAATCACAATTCTCATCTCATGTCTACAAACAAGGTTTCATTATAGTGTTAAATCGATGAATCTCAAACTAAGAAGTCATGAAAACGATTGGGAATTCTGCAAAAAAATGTCAGAAATAACTATAAAACCTGCTAGTACAAAAGGAAACAAACTGGAAATACAGATTAAATTGCAAAAAGCAGATGTATAACCATGTTTCCTAATTAGGTATGATACAAATGATTAAATATAATGACAAATAGGCCTAATGTAAGATTAAAGTGAATTCACCAATAAATGAGCATAGGCCTATACAGTATCTAGCTTTTTGTGAAGTAAAAATTATATTAACATAGGCCTAGCTATATTAGATTCCATCCACCAGAAGAACAAAAACAACACTGTTCCCTACATCAAACAGGAAAAGAGGAAGACCAAAAGATGTGACGCTTCCTAACTAAAATACAAAAGTCCATCGATAAGATGCAATCTGAATATACCACCAATCTTTTAATTCATAGCGAAAGAATCTGGGAAACTGACAGGAAACCAAAACAGATTTGGAAAAAAAAAATGTGGACATGCATTGCAAACATGCATGTGTAACTGTGAGATAGGGCAAAAGGCCTATTCACACCCCCTTCACCCCCCCCCCCCCCCGGCCAAGAGAGAATAATACCAGGAACTAGACCAAGAGTCGGTTTAATCGACGGTAGAATGATAGATTGAAACTTGATCGATAGTTGCGAGTTAAATGATATGGTCTAGAATAGAACTGAAGAAGATTCTGTCATGATGTCACGTTTTCTGCCCAAGGCGAATAATAATAATAATAATAATAATAAGACATTTTTAAAGCGCGCTAATGCATGCACAAGGCGGCCTCTAGGCGCTATAAAATACATAATAACAAGCAAATATTTTAAACAAGGGAATAGCATACATTAGAAAGAAACATTTTTTTTTTTAACATTAATACATTTAAAAGGTTCCAATTCGACGAAAGTTAAAAAGCACGGTGAGTGATACATTAAAAGCCAATGATAAAATATTGCCGGAAAAGGACGGTTTTTATAGCAGATTTAAACGCTCCAACCGATGTTATACATCTGACGTTGTCAGGCATAGAGTTCCATAGTGTCGGGCCGTAAACAGCAAATACTCGAGCACCAAAGGTAGTAGTCCTTGGGATTCCAGATGGTCGTTCGAGTAGATTCTGTGACGAAGAACGTAGTGTTCGTACCGGCTTATAGCGTTTGACAAAGCATGTAAGGTAAGATGGTCCCATGTCGTGCAGACATTTAAACACAAGCAACAAGATCT